TAGTCTTCTTTAAAAAACACTAATCCCTCTTATATTAATAATAATAATAATGTCTGGAGTTCAACGTTCCAAAACCACGATATCATTATGAGGGACGCCGTAGTGGAGGGCTCCGGAAATTTCGACCACCTGGGGTTCTTTAACGTGCACCTAAATCTAAGCACACGGGCCTCAAACATTTTCGCCTTCATCGAAAATGCAGCCGCTGCGGCCGGGATTCGATCCCGCGACCTGCGGGTCAGCAGTCGAGCGCCATAACTACTAGACCACCACGGCGGGGCACTAATCCCTCTTAGGAGGCAACAAACAAGCAAGAAAGGGATCGGACAAGCACTCGTCTCGTCCTGCCTTTCGGTATACATCGCTCTGGTTCTCGTCCCCTAGCAATGAACTAGCTCGCCCAGCAGACACCCTAGTGCACTTTAGGTTGTGTTAAATGGTACGTGACATTAAAACGATAGCTGCAGGGCATTATTTATCTGGAATAGTTTTAAAGAGCTTAGAGAGCAATACAATTTGCGTACATGAGGGCTCAGTCTGTTGAACTTCTTCACCGGCGCTGTGAGCGGGCATTGCAGTGGTATTCGCGGGCCGAGGAGAAATTGTCGGAGCACAGATTTCAGCGTGACATACATACAGCTGGTATTAGGCGTCACATTAAATATTTGCAATTACAATCACTCAGAGCGTTTTCTCACTAATAATTGGTCTCCTCGCGTATTATGTCTCAGTACGAACAACAAAAAAAGTGTAAACACACAAAAAGAGAACGCTACGTGTCACTCACTAAATATATGGGTGCCCCAACTTTCCTAAACCAATATTTTAAAAATCCCAATGCGGTGTGCCTAGAACAGGTTAAAATCGTGGTGCCCGTGATGACCTAGCGCGTAACCGAATTCTTGCCAATTACACTTATTTGGCCCATTGAAAATAAAAGTAATTTTGTAATAATAAAGCTAATAAAAATAAAGTACCTTTTGGATTCTTAATTTTACAAGCGACTTTGAACTAGGGTGTCGTAGAATATATATATATTTCTAAAAGGCCCGTTCTGTTGCTCCCACTGTCAGAGCTATCGCGCAATTGTTTTAACAGCGACACCAAGTTGGCCGCTACTCACTCGCCATGTGCGAAATAGCTGATAACGCGCCACATGGAGTACTCTCTCAAGTTATGAGGTCATTTTCGCCTTTTCCTGTAAAACGCCACGCCAAGGGTAAAATAGTGGAGACAACTGAATCAGAATCGAGGAGGTTACATGTAGAGCGTTCTGAGTGAGACGTTTGCTCTAAGTTTAACGATTGTGAAGCCGGCAAATTTTTTACTTAGCTAGTTATATCTACCAGCAAAATCATGCCGGCGAATCCATGGATGCTGTGTACACCATGCGCTGGTATTGTTGGTGTAATCTGCGTGAGAATCTTAAAAATACTGAGTCGTGGTAACTCGGACAGGTACACATATTGAGTATTAAGACATTTCTGTAAATAGTTGTAGAGGCATGAAAGTTTGTGCTGTTGTATGATAACTTTACAGTATTCCCACCTGGACTTTCGATGTGTGTCTGCCCATCGCCAAAAATGGAAACTGTTGGCACAGCACATCTTAGCAGCCTTGTCTGTCCAGGGTCTGCGTAGTGTCTGCTGGTGAAATGGGCAGAGCACAGGCTGTAGCTGCTGTAGATCTGACGAGGTGGTAAATGAGCCAGGTCCTGCCATCTCGCATACTGAAGCTAAGCGCGAGATCTGGAAAATCAATGTGTGCGTGTGTAGTATTTGGGTTAGAATGAATTTATTTCTGTTTTCAGGCGTAGATGAATAGCTTTGAGTGAAAACTGGCATCTTCATTCGAAGTAAGCGTTATTTGATACATTTCTCATCTTCCTTTCTTAATTGAATTTTTGTAACCAAGACGACTTGTGATAGCAATTTTGAAAGCAAAATTTAAAATAAAATCTGTCTTTATTAATGAGAGACGCGGATACATGCTTCTACTTGCGCGATAGTAATGTTTGGTGGCAATGACCCAAGCTTTCCTCCTAATTCAAAATATATTTTTGCAGACAATAGCAATCATCCCACACCAAAATCTCTAAAGAACTATTCGTACATATATACCCTCGCGCACTGCGTATTCCTCGGGTATTTCTCGCGCCCTGCTGCAAATCTTTCATAAAAACCTTATTAAAACCGGTAATAAATTAGTAGAACACGTAAGTTTACATTGTCCAATTATTTATGGGCTTTTAGCTGCAATCGCATTCTTGTAAATATATCGTAATTGTACTTAAGGCTGAAACTGAAAACATGAAATTGAAACATACATTATAAATTATTACTTTACAAATTTATTGCTAAATTCCTATAAATTATTACTTTATAAATTTATTGCTAAATTTATTGCTAAATTTGCCGTGGATTTACGTGAGGCCAAAATGAAAACACGCAATTGAAACGCAATAATGTAATAACATCCGTCTAAACTCGCAAGTGTAATAGCTTATGTACTAAGTACTTAATTAACATAGTACTAACAACACATGCTATGAACGTATATGGACCCTCCCTTATAGCCAAAAGATTGTGGGAATCGCCTCCCTCCAGCTATGGACATAAATAGGCTGATAATATTCAAGAATAATAATAACGCATGCAACGAGAACAGACTGAACGCAGGCAATCAAAAGGTAATAAAAAGAGTGCGGATAAGCTTACACTGTTCTATTAGTTACTGTATATGCTGCTACAAATACATTTGTGACATGCCTTGCATTGCCTTGAGCCAAAGTGCAACATTGAAATGCAATGCACGATCGAAACGCATTAAATTGAAAACGCAAGTATAAACAATCGTGCGTAGCAAATGTATTCGCTGGAATAATTTCCAGATGCTCTGCCGTGCAAGTCATGTATAATTGAAGTCGAAAAGCAGACAATCAGAATGTAATGAATAAATCATGTACGTGTAGCTCTACTAAATTACACAGCTACTGCAGCAACCGCATCCTGATATGCCGTGCAAGCGTAGAAAGACAAAACGAGCAGCATGCAGATCGTACCTTTCGTCCGCCGGGATCCGAAAGAATTTTATTCCGGTGTGTCGTGAAGAATTCCAACACCACTCAGCGCAGCACGATTTGTGATGACGGCGAGAATCCATGGATGCGTCTGTTTGGCTGAATCTTGCATGGGTTTCGCTAAAACAAACTTTACAGCGGTAAAAGCGGCCTTTGGGACACCGCAGGCTGTAGCGTACATGGGCGCGCGAAAAGAAACGCCCCTTTTTCGCCGTGAGAGATAGGACGACTGCGCAGTTCCCGTTTTCCACTTCGGGTGGCGCTCTTATTTTCGCAATCTCGAACTGCAACCTTTAGGTTCACTTGTGTAGTAAAAACTCCGGAGTTAATGAGTAACCTAGTAATAACTATAAAATAGAACAAGAACGTTCATTTAGGTAGTACAGCCCCCAAACGTTAGGATCGCTGTGGTCACGGGACAAAAAAACCGCGAAGTTTCACCCCCCTGGTAATACGCGCTGACGGGGTGAAGGGATAACGTTGCACCGAAAGATGGTTTCCTTTTACTCATATGGTAGTTCAGCTGCAATAATACAGCATGCAATAATTTCAGTGAGGAAAAGCACATATCTTACGTTTATCTATCGCATTGGAATCAAGGAACTAAATGCTCATAAATACTGCGTTGAGGTCACACAAAGTACTGCAACATAGGACAATGTATTTGTCAGAGAGTGTTGGGAAAAGAAGTTGCGTGGTCTGTCTGCTGGTAAACAGGCTGTGTGCACAGTAGTCGGAGCAAGGAGTCTTAAATGCGTTTCGAGTGTTTCCACCTCAATGCGTGTCTGGACTAGGTAGTCTCTGGAGATCACTATAGAAGCCGCCGTTGATGCGCTTACAGGCACGTCTAAGCAAATTCGGAGTGTTTGGGCCTTAAGTCTTTGTACTATTCGCAGGCTTGTTTTGCTTGCATCGATTAATGCAAGCAGTTTGTACCGGAGGAAGGCAAAAAGGAGTACCCTGTACATCCGCAGAATTGCTCTGTGGGACATTCCCCAACCCTTATTTACGAAGAAATTCAATAAATGACATATGTCAATCAACGGCTTTTTGAGGTACCATACACGATGACTCCATAATCAATGCCTGTCAATTAGGACACCCGGGAACCTGTATGATCAAATGCATGGTACAGTTTGGTTCATGATGTTTATGACGAAATCACAGAAAGCGTTCCTTTCCTCAATTACTTAGTTATTTGCAAAAAGTGTATACGAAATATGGTAAGACAGTTCAAGAAAGAATTTGGCTTCATGATTATGGCTGACAAAGATATCCCTTCTGGCGGATACATTCATATGGGATGGCATTCTAACTTTTCCTGTCCTGCTATTCTTTTTACTGCAGTAAATATTTTACGTGAATACCATGGCACAACTATACCAGTACGCATTCAGTGTACAATGCGGTAATCAATAGCATATGTCTACTGTAATAAATTTCAATGTCTTTTACGATTTGTACCGCATTAAACACCAGACAATGAATGTTTCACAACTATCGTGACAGACAGAACCTTGGTTGAGTGCGCCGCCACCTTGATTTTTGTTTCTGAGCCCGTTTAGTGAGTTTTTCTCTCCTCAAATAGATGAAACTGTTACCACGTTTCCGACGCAGAATTTAACATACACATACTGGTCATCAGCCACCGAACTTTCATCAACACAAGAACTCTCACTAAGTGTTTTCGTATTAGCTCTCTGATGGCTGTAAATATATTAAAATGACGCCAGCTGGTCTTGCCCAGACTATTTCTTTTTTCAATCGTTTCCAGCCATTGTGTAACCTATCATACAGCAATGTACAATAAACAATCAACTACACTCCGATGTAGAGACGGTTCACTTTCATGTTATACTGATTGCTACGACAGAGATATCAGCTATGTTTCTTTTTAAATTTCATTCCCCTACTTTCTCAGGCCCCGGTGGTGTGCTGAATGGCTTAGGGGGTGATATCCCGGCTGGTGCCATCGGTGGTAGAATTGGCAGCACCATAGGGGCTGGAGTAGGCCGTGGCTTGGGTGGTGGCATGGGCACTGGCATCGGTGGTGTCTTGGGTGGTGCCGCGGGAAGTGCCGTCGGCAATGCAATAGCCAACGGTGTGGGAGGCACGACATCTACTTGGTCGAGTGGCAATGGTGAGTGGCCTGCACCCCAGCTAAAAAAGTGACAATATTTTTTCAACTAAAAAGCGCTTATGTTGACAGTCGCACCTTTACGGCAGCAATGAAAACCAAATCATACATTTTGAGGGGTTTTAATAGACCTAAGTCATCATTGACTTTTTCGTATATACTAAAGTGAATAATTAACACCTACAATGCCAATTATACTGTTGCACTCTTTCCTCTAGCTTATAAATTATCCATAAGAGCTAGTCTGAGCTCGCTTGCGCGCCCTGACGTCAACGTCTGCAACGCACAATATCGAGTATTCTTATTTAATTACTGAAATTGTGTCTCACATTGCAGTATATCACGCACACGTGCGCCACACCTCATTAAAAACCTGGATTTTTGACCTGTGCTAAGTTATTGATCAGCTACATGATAGGAAGTCATGCTGCTAGACTTCAGCGCACGAGATTCGGCGAGGTCTATATTGTGTGAAAGACCTCTTAAACACACCAGACACGAGTACAACTTGGAATCCATAAGGAGCACAAAATTCATAGCTCCATCTATGTTATAATTAATGCCTGGCTTTGGATCATGAGTAAATGTGAGATAAAACATCCAATTCAATAATGTGCTTGTTTATTTTCAGCACACGGTGAGCCGCGATTCACCGGAAATATTTACGTTTAGCTATATCACGGTAGGAGAAACTTACTCCTTCAGCGCTTCGCTGCCCGGAACATTTCTCTATTAGCAGCACTGTTCTACTTATCCGAATGAAACCAAAAATAGTAGTGGTACCCTACAATTCAATGTCAAGTTGCTCATAATTTCATATAATTTTCATGGCTTAGGTAGATATTCCTCAAAGGCCTAGTTTATCACTATCATATAATTTAGGATTCATACACACGAAAAACAGAATAAGTTGCTATCGCTGTCGTGTGCTTCTTTTAGTGGTTATACAATGCTTTTGTAGCATGGTTATTAATAAAAGGCCCCAGGTGGTCAAACTTTTTGGAGCCCTCTACTACAGCCTTTCTCATAATCATATGGTGTTTTTGGGACGTTAAACCCCACATATATCAATCAATCTAAGCATGGTGATCAAACTTTTTGCATCATCATTATTACAGCTGTCCGACAGTAAGCCGCAGTACGTGAGTTTTAAATGAACTGCAGAAATATGTACCTGCTTTGCTACTGAATGAGCGGGAAGGCGTTCAATGCTGCTGCTAAACATAAAAACTTTACCATTTTCCTATTAGCGTGAAGGACCTGATCATACAGCTCATATGGCTGTGGAAGTGCGCCCCCATAAATGGGAACCATTATTTCATTGCATGCGATTTCTGAATCATAAAATATTGTCCACATTTAGTTTACTCGTTTGTCTTAGCATAGAATAGTTTCTACTGACTTTTTATATTTTGCTGAGATACATATCACTCTTACATTTAAATCCAATTTTTGTACCCACTGCGGTGGTCTTATAGATATGGAGCTCGAATGTTGATCCGAATGTCGCGTGATTGAATCCCGGTCATGGTAGCCCAATTTCAGAGGCGAAAATCATAGGCGACTGTGTACTAAAGTTTAACTGCTCTTTAAAGAACCCAAGGTGGTTAAAATTTTCGGAAACCACCCTTAGCGCGTCCTTATAACCAAACGCGGCAAGTAAGCTAATGTATTTTTGCTTTCTTCATCAGGATTTGGAGTAGGGGCCACTGGCGGAGTACCATCGGTTGGAACAAGGGGTGTGGGTGGTAAGTTCACTTGGTGCCTGTGCTCAAAAATTGACACTTTACAAAACATAAAAGGACGGCACTTTCCATTAAGAGATTTAATATAAAAAAATAGGAATTTACAGAACAACACAACGCTATTCAGATGTGCCACTGCTAAATTTGGTTACAACGAGCGATCATATAACAAAGAACTTCGAAACAAGTAAAATCGAATTTACGCGTTGTTTTAGTAGGAATGTTTACCCATTTCAAAATGAGCTTTCTATTTTAAAAAAAGTAAGTTTTGCGACAAGGCCTAAGCAATGAATACGACGCATACAAATTAGAATGTCACCTGAAAATTGGGAAGCAGCTTGAAACTTGCAGCGCGCTGCTCAAGCACAAGGAATGCATGCAAAGATGAAACACAGTAACAGCGTGTACTTAACCGTCGCAGGTGTCACTTCTTCGAGTTTGGGGAGCATACTCATTTCGTGAACACGCCTGCGGTAGCTAGTGAAGTGACTTTCACGTGCTCTTGAAAATTCAACACTAACTTTGCGGTGAAAGCGCAAGACGTACAAACCACCCACATCACGTTATATTCGCGCGCACAGCGAGCATGCCCTGTGGGGCAGGTATAGTACAGTTGGTAGAGACAGAAAGAGCGTTTTCATTGCCATGGGCGGGGCTACGACTCTCTCAAGGTGTCTTTCGTGCTATCTTGCGGGCGATGAAGAAAACACACTGAAGCATGCCCAAGCCCTGCAAAACGCTGTCAGTGATTGTTGTACATGTTGCACATGCAGGTCAACTTCAGTGTGTTGAAGGGTGTACGTTCCATGACCAGGTCAGCTAACACCACACGCTATTGAGCGAGGGGTCCCAGGTTCGACTTGCTAATACAGCTTCGCTAAATATTTTTGAGCATTATGTTACTAGCTGGCTGATATACACAGTACGCACACACCAAACATAACGGTAACGGCAAAAACCAGCCGGGAGTCTCCAATAAATGGCATAGCAATAATAATTTTTATATAAAGTCTCACCATTTGTAACCACTACGCATATTCCAACTAAAAGGAACTTTTTTTTTTAATGTGACTGCAGCCAAGAGTTGCAAGTACATTCGCTACGTGTTCATGGCACTCTTCGATTAGTTGTCAGTCACCAGCATGACCTGATGACGATGACCGCTGCTTTTATCGATGTCACACAGCAAGTTTTTTTTTTTTTGATTTCATCGCTCAAGAGCATTTTTTCTGGAGTGGTTTCCCCATTACAACAGCACAAAAAATATATAGGCTGCCTCGATGATCACACTGGGATTTAAAGCCTTTAGAGGAAAGACAAGGCACACAAACGAAATAAATTTCTAGTACCAAACTGGACCAGGACAAGGCGAGTTTTATTGTATAGGCTTTCTTTCGAGTTTTTCGTTCGCACTGGTTATGCACCCCAAGCCTTAAGCAAAAGCAAAAATACTTTTTTTGACAATGCGTTGAAAGTTTGTATGGAATTGTGAATTGATGAAATGAAGAGAACAGCCATCCGCGCATGCTTCCTTCTATCATTGATTCACGTCTTTTGCATTCTCCTGGCCATTGTTATGCAACGCATGGTGCGTTCCTGAATTTATAAGAGCCTGTTGCATCACTGATATGAACATGCTGTCCAATATAAACGTGTGGGTAAGCAGTTAACATGAAGAGATGACCCTAGCGTTGAATGCAAAAACTAACAAAGAATAAAAACAAATATGATGTTCACTTTCAAGAGCGCCGTATATAAAGTAATGTATTTGATGTAAATTTCTATGAGCTTCCTAAACGATTAAAAAATTATCCCCACGCTGAGAACCCTTCCTGCTTGCCTCTGTATAATGCCTATACTTCTCTTGTCCGTCCTAAGCTAGAATACGCAGCTATCGTGTGGGATCCTTACACTAAAACTAACATCGATGCGCTAAGAAGAATCCAACGTAAAGCAGTAAGGTTTATCTTTTGAAAATATCGTACCAGGGACTCTCCAAGTATATTAATGGCCCAACACAATATTCAGTACTTACAACTAAGAAGAAAAATTCACAGCCGTCAATTTCTTTTCCGGCTGTATAATAATAAGTTCTCTCTTTCTCATGAACCTTATACTAAGCCTCTGACTGCTCACCGAACAAGACATCGACACTCTGCCACATTAGCGCCTTACAATGCCACAACCAACATATTTAAGTATTCATTTTTCCTTCTAACAGTAGCAGACTGTAACAGCCTACCTCTTAGTGCACTCAGCAACACCGACTCTATCGCATCCATTACATCTTAAACCTAGCCTTGCACAGATACTCTTGTCCGTTGATTAGATAGTTTTGTATTCATAATCCTTTCATTCTGTATATTCTATTTTATTGTTTCACATTTTTCAGTGCTTTTTTTTGTTGGTTGATTCATTTAGTTGTCAGGATATTATCTTTGATACCTGCACCCTTCTTACTGTTTGTTTTTGCCTTTCCCCTCCTGTCTGGGCCTTGTCAAGGCCTGCAGAATTCATAAATGAATATAACATAAAATAAAATAAATAAAAACAAGCATGTGGGTGGCGCTCTGCGCATTTCACGTTTGACAGTTGTCCCATCCACGATGTTTATTCTTTGATCGGGGCCCCGTTCATGATCTTCTCTTTCTATCTATTTCGTTAAATCTCTCCTTGCCTCTTTCCTTGTGCACTACGGCTGATGTATCTTCCCTTGAGGGACAGTTGCGGGCAGCACTCTTTGCTTCACTTCCTGATACTTTCTTGTAATAATCACTCACAGCACGCATGTGCCCTTTGTTGTACCTTCAGGAAAATGCTGGCAAATCGTATAGCATACTGTCCTTCCACTAGACTTTTCTTAACAATGATTTTCTGCGATAGCCTCCTGGTGACGCTTGATGATAGAACAGCCGACCTGCATGCACGTTGATCTAGGTTTTGAATCCCCAACCACGCGACACCTTGCCTTGCGAAACTCCGTATCTGAAAAAATTGTCATGGTTTCCTGTGTAGTATAGTGTCAGGCTAGGGTGGAAGAATGTGGTGCAATCAAAAACTGCTCTGAATGCTTTTCTACAATTGCCTGCAATGTGTGAGTAAAGTTAACAACTTTAAAGCACTTTAAACAGGCATATTTGCTCACTAGCTGCCCATATATGATAACTGAATCATTTCATGTATTTTTCTCACTGGCTTCTGCCCGATATACATGCCCCTATATTCAGCCGACTGTAATGGTATTCACTGTAAGACAACGTCTTTCATTTTTCATCACTTCAGGTGGTGCCTTGAGCTCTGGTGCCTTCAACAGAGGAGTAGCTGGTGTGATGCGCGGTGGCTTCGGTAGTGGCGTGGGCACTGCCTTGGGAAGTGGCGCGGGCGCCAGCTTGAGTAGGGGCTTGGCCACTGGCGCGAGCGTCGGTTTAGGCAGTAACTTTGGCGGTACCCTTGGCAGTAGAGTTGGAGGTGCCTTGGGTGGTCTCGCAGGCGGCACCGTCGCCGGTGCCTTGGGTAACAGAGCTGGAGTCACTGGTTCGATGGGTCCAGGTGAGTACAAGTTCATATGCTACTTAAAATACATTGGCAGCTATATTTCATGTGCTACTCGGCTTTTAATCTTGTGTGATAGAAAAACTTGTACTTGTATTAATAATGTTGTGCTGTATTTTGAACAAATTTAACAAGGCTATGTGTGCTTCTTGTGCATTCTAAGTGAAGTAAAATTGATATTATAGCAAACATAAGTTTTGCACACTTCCATCACTTTGCCACGTGCACATATTTCTGCATTATTTTTTGACTGGGCTGTATATTACACGCGTGTATCCATCGAGTGGCTCAAGCCTCGCCGGTATGTCTGAAAACCTTTTTGATTGTAGTTGATATTAATTGTCAGAGTGTTTTAAGTCTCCCGATTAGATTACACGCAGCAAGTGAGTAGTCGAGTGAATTTTACAGGGCTAACGCTCGGATCAATGAAAACGTTTGAAAATGTTATCCTGCATGTACAAACGTGTTTCAACAACGATAACGTTCTCGTCAACCAAAGATAGTGCTCCACACTATATATCTTGTAACCATGAAAGTTACGTCTTGTTCTGGAGAAAACCTCACCCAACAATGGCCTAAGTTAGAAGCCCACTGCTTGCGCGTTCAACATACTCTGTTTAAGTATGTGAATGGTCTTGATGTGTGACTGTATGACAGTTCTTTCTTTTGCACAAAAATCATGCCAACACTGAGCATTCATTTTTCCTCTTCTAGGATCCATTGGTGGACCACGCGGTGGATTTCTGGTTGGTGCAGGTCTGTGAAAGTTCTTCCAGCTTGCACTATTTGACAAATGTAAAAGGTTATGATTACAACTGTGGTCACCCAGCCGTGCTCGTGTTGTATATGCACGGAAGCCAACGTGCACAAGTCCACTATTCCACTAGAATGGCGAAGCATTTAATGCAATAACTACACACCGGTACAGTAAAGAAACATCTTCGGCTGGTGTTATCCGTGCGGCGCGTAGAACGAGGAACGTGAAAAATACCACGGTATGATAAAAAAAAGCGTTAGCGTGAATTTATCAGCGAAATATTTGCATTATCAAGCGGGAAATGTGTAAAAAGTTTTATGCGGCGCTGACACCCCTAAGAGACGTTAGCGTGGCATTCACCGTTCTTGAAGGACACATTTACGCAACCAGGTGTTTCCTGGCTGAATAGGTGGAGTAATACAGCCATAGCTCTAGAGTGTTAAACAGAAATTTCCTGAGCTCCAGCGGGTACCTCAAAACGATTGCAGTACACCGTCAAACTTTAAAATCCGAATCGGTTCACGGCTTTCAGGAGTTGATGGGCCAGCTAGTGAGAATATATTTAGAAAGGATTACTAGCGTATACAAGAGCTTTAAACTGGTCAGGTTAAGCAAAAACAAGAGAGCGCTGACTTCCTAGTGTTAATACTGTGAGAAAGGGTGTACATACAGGGCGAGGAAATCCAATAAACAGAAAAAAATCCAACATAAAGCTTTCGCATACTCAGACAGACGTCAAGCATATACTTGCCAAAAAGCCCGGCAACCCAACCAAACTCTTTTTAAGATGGTGCTATAGAGCATTCGTCGATGAACATGCCTCGCAGCTTATGTACAAGTATAGGTGCAAAAACTTCGCCTGTTAACTGGACTAAATATTTTGCCATTACTCTGCAAGCGTTAACACTGCGTGGGAACCTGCAGTCACTTCAGTCAATTTAGTTTCGTCTCCTGTGCAGTTGGTGTCGCTTATTAATCCCCCTTTCGTTGGAAGTAATATTCGGCAAACTGACATACTTTAACGAGGAGTTCCATGAACACCTCAGCAAAGTCTCTAGAAAATATAATAAACTAGAAAATACCCTACAGTAGGATGAGTTATGGCGGCGTCGTTCAAGTTCAGACCACGAATTATTGAAGCATTTTTTAAAGGTATTGAATAATACATTTCTCTTTGTACACTCTCTATGTTGCTTGTGCTGTGACATCCAGGCCCTAGCTTGCTCGATGCAATAGATATTGACAGATTTAGGGGTAGCTTAAATAAGCGTGCACTCGCAGTATCATCTACTTCAATCGGCGGACCATCACGCAGACTACGGTTATTTTTTGCTAGCATTGTAGCACTTCGCGTATTGGTTGAAACTTATGGCCAGCTGAGCTAGTTCTCGATCCTGTAGAGACCTACCAGTATGCAGTTTTTTTTTTTCATGTTTTTCACTTCAGGTCCTGTTGGCGGTAGCTTGGAAAGCCTTGGAAAAATGACAGGTGAATCTAGTGGCTGGGGTGAGTGCTGCGGCATGTATATCTTTGAAACTTGGCGGTAATTCACGAAGAAACAAAACGAAGAGGCGAGCGATATCATACTGATTCATTATGCGTAAAAGTAGCAAAAAAAAAAGACAGGGACAAGAAAGTGACTATATGGCGATATATAGAAGAACCCCTGGTGGCCGAAACTTTCGGAGTCTTCCACTACAGCGTCTCTCATAACCATATGTTGATTTGGGGACGTTAAATCTCACATATCAATCAAATCATTATATAGGAATATATGAATTCGTATGAGTGGTAAGTTGAAAAGTCTTAATATTGGAAATCATCTGAATATTTGGTTTCATAACCCACCATTCCGCTATGATCAGATATTAGAGCAACTGCGAATATACCTTTTACTAAATTAATAAGGCTAAATAGACGAACACTCGTGTGCTTCATGTCTGGTGCACCCCAATGATACGCACGTGGTGTACATTAATCATCAGCCTTATATTACGGCATGCCACACAATCATACCACTGTTTTGCACGTGAAACCTTCAGAATATACTCTGTACTTACCCCTACTTTTCTACTTTGGCAGAATATGGTGGCGTTTCGTACACTGGCAAGCTGACGTCAGGTGGTTCAGGTAAGTAAATATTTTACCTGAATTTGATCTAAATTTTCTCTTTAAGGTCTTTCCAACGTTTTTAGAATGCCTCAACCAAAATTGTGTTCAAGCTCTTAACTTTTACAAGTGAGGGGCACTTGAACAAAGCACAAGCTCCAAGTCCAAGCAAATTGGAAACACACACGTACATAACGTCTTTTTGAAAGGAAGATACTTTCTTACTGCGCAAGGCACGTTTCAGAGAGAATGTTCCCCGTGTACCAAAGCGTTCCCTGCGCACTAAGAAAGTATATTTCTTTCCAAAATGCAATACCAACCAGCCCAAGTAGCCACGCTTTTATATAACACCATCACCTTACATAGAGTCCACCCCAACTCACCACTACATGCTCGCTTTGCAACCATTCCTGTTGCAAGTCCAAACACATAATCTGGCTGTGCCCTACCCACAGCGCAGCACAGATAAACACCCAAGAGGCCTGGCAAGAAGTCCTCAAGAGCAACAACTACAAGCAGCAACTACAAGTGGTACAGAGCACCCAGGTCACCACAAGAAGCCTTTGGCTGCCACCACCACACTGGGCAGAGCTCCCAGGCTGACTTAAAAGGGCCCTGCAATACTTTTTGAACATGGTCATAAAACGCTGCTGATCGATAGTAGAGGCTCCCGAAAACACGCGAGCCATATGTTAAAGCGCAGCACAGGGCCTGGAATTCAAAATCAATTATCAAAGTCAGCTGAAAATTTCTTTCTCTTCCCCCGACAAATGACAGAAAACGTTCAAAAATCTGCCCCGCCGCGGTGGTCTAGTGGCTAAGGTACTCGGCTGCTGACCCGCAAGGCGCGGGTTCGAATCCCGGCTGCGGCGGCTGCATTTCCGATGGAGGCGGAAATGTTGTAGGCCCGTGTGCTCAGATTTGGGCGCACGTTAAAGAACCCCAGGTGGTCTAAATTTCCGGAGCCCTCCACTACGGCGTCTCTCATAATCATATAGTGGTTTTGGGACGTTCAACCCCACATATCAATCAATCAATCAAACGTTCGAAAATCACACGTAGATTGCCCATCTATAAGCCATTGGCTGACTTGAACATGGCGCGCTTGGTTGTTACAGAGATCGCCGCGAGAGGCCGCCCCTTCTCCTCGCATGCGCACGTGATCGCACTGAAAAAGCCGCGTATTCCCAGAAAAAAAAAGGAAAAGCTCAAGGTCACGAGGCGCGAGTGACGTTTTTTGTTTGCCCCTCCCATCCCTCCCTGTTTAGCTTCCAGTGCTTCGTCGGGACGAGAGAACGTGATTGCAGCGTGTGGCAAATCTTTGTACTCCTCTCGTACTGGGCGGATTCTTAACATTTTTAGGCGTTGAATTTGCGAGTCAATACGCTTTCCCAGTGAAATATTTCCATGGTTACTCAAAAAACTGTCTCAGGGCCCCTTCAAGGTTCGTAATGGCCCCCTACTCAGCTTCCTTAGGATAAATTGAATAAAGTCAATCTCACTCACTCACTCACTCACTTTAGAGTGCTGTAACATTGTATGTGTGCGTCCTTGCTTGTGTGTGTGTGTGCAGCCGGTATTTACTAACTTTGTTCTTCAGCAGACCTCATATAACCCTGAACGTTCACTTTCTGTCATTCAGGACCTTCTAGTGTTGTCATTGGACCAAGCGATAGATTGCGACCCGGAGGGTTAGGTAAGTTGTATTGCAGTCTGCGCGTATGTATATGTGTCTATGCTCGACCCAAGTTTTAAAGTGTCAAATTATTTCGAGCATATTTTGGTATAAAAAGAGAAAGGAAGACAACCACGCACTTATAGCACTAAGTCCACAAAGAAGTGCGTACGCATTTCTCAGAAACAAAAACTTCTTGCCGAAAAATTCGTCCATATCTGGTCTTTGAACTTGAACCAAATGCAATTCCGGGGTGGTTGCTCTACCAATTGAGCTAACCAGGATGCCAGCAATCAACAACGCGAGGATGAATTAATCGGCTACTCGAAGCACATGTACACAAGTATTGCGAATGAGTTCTGCGGACACGCGCGAGGTGACTAAAGGCTTAAGAATAGGCAAGGTGACTTCCAATCATTTGCAGCACGAACCCACAGGCAATCCGTACAGACTTCACAAAGAAAAGCTTCTTAGTTGCTGAAAAATTCTTCCTGATCAGGGGTTCGAATACGGGACCAACACTTTTCCGGGTCGTCACTCTACCAATTGAGCCTAAGCAGAAAGCTTTCTTAACGCTTCTCAACAACCAGCGGGTTTCCGCAGGATTGATATGCAATATTTCGGTGTTCATGAAGTTTTAAATATTTACATATTCTAAGAAGAAAGCATGCAAGCTGTAACTTATCTTCGACCTTTAGAGACTGCCAATTTCTCTCATGCTTTAAGTGCATCACACTGGCAGCTTTGAATAGCTTACGCAGTTTCTCCGGAGTCTCTAGATGTTTCAAAAACATCGGCGTGCGTGGGGTTCCTCTTCGGGGAAGGGGGGGGGGCAAAGATTTGTCCTAGCGCCTCACCTTCCCTATCATGCCAGTGCACGGTCTCACTTTGCACTACCCCCCCCCCCCCGCTTCTTGCCCCATGCCCCCTTCGTGCGCACGTCTACGGTCAAAACCAATACTAATGCAGAAATTTAAAGCATCCGAAATAAAATTATTATGGTACAACTGAAATGAACACGACTGTAACTCTCTTGACAGCCATTCACTAAGCTAACATGAACAGATCAGCCACTCATATTACTTTCGTGCAACTATGTCGTCGTTCCATACAGACCAATTTGCAAACGGATGTCTTCTGTTGCGATTGTATGGTAGACCGGAGTCTTAGGGTCAATCCTGAATACTTTCTTCTTATCTTTTAGGAATCGGTGTTGTTGGCCCTGGAGTAAGAGGTGGTATACCTGCAGGTGGAATGTTTCCACCTGGAATTGGTGAGTTGTAATCCAGACATGTGCACAGGTTTCAGTTAAGCTGTAAAAAATTTTTAGATTATTTTGGTGTGTCTGAAAACCTCAAAAGTAGGAGTATTCACACTGCTTTTAGGGGTCAGGAAGCTGCCAAGTTTATCCACACATGCGTCATATTCTCAGTTATCCGTGTTACGCGGATACTCCGGGCTTACTAAAGATGTTAAAAATACCACTGTGACAGCTTTTGATGAAATTCAAAATAGCAGCACCATACTATGTTTAAACATACAATGATTGCCACTTTCTTGACAGCGATTCCCTTAGCTAACTCGAACCCATCACCACTCTTATTGCTATTGGTCAGCTTTGTTTCGTCGCTGCATCAAAAGAGAGTTTTAACCAGTTTGTTTCCTATTGTCATTGTATGGCACACCAATGTTAAGCAGAGTCCTTCCCCTTTCTAAACTAGAACGTACCGTTTCTCTCATTTAGGACCTGCCACCGGTGGCTTCGGAGGAAGAGTTAGGATACCTCCGGGAGCAGTTGGTGAGTTATAATTCCACATGTGCACTAGCGCATTTTAAGTTATATTATACAATACATTATTGAAAGCATTTCAGTATATTCGAAACACTTATTATAGCTGTATATTCTCCAGTGTGTGCAAAACTCCCTCATTTATGTATATTATCATTGCGTCGCACTGAAATTTCTGATCGCTTTACATGACGCCATGGTGTTCTAGTGGCTAGAACATTCGGCTGCTGATCCGCATGTCACGGGATCAAATAAAACCCGCCCGTGGCGGCCTCATTTTCGATGGAGGCGAAAAGGCTTGAGACCCTAGCGCTTAGATTTGTGTGCACGTTAGAGAAAACCAGGCAGTTGAAATTTTCAGAGACCTAAGTATGGTGACTTTCATAATGATATGGTGGTTTCTGAACGTCAAACTCCAACAATTACATTTAATTTAATATTGTTACTCATTGGCTTACACTGATCCTCTATACTCTCAGATGTGTACGAAAATTGAAGCGATTTCACTGAGCTAACGTGTAGAAGAATGGTTGAACAATGCAGCTGCAGGGGGGGGGGGGGTGTCCACAGTAAGCATGGTCTCCATTGGTATGAACGAGGTCACATTTGCCTCCTGCCCTCTCAACCAAACTGCGCCTTGTTATGCCTGCGAGTCCACAGCGAACGTCCATGCCTCTGAAAAAAGGCAATCTGTGTCAAGGCCAGCACGCGAGCCCGTCTGACGCGATGGACAACTCAACGGCGTCATCACGCGACGGTGCCTTTCTGCCGCGCACGTGCAGTGAGTCACCTCAACCAGCGAGCCGGCGCCTTCCTGTCTGGCGAGTCTGACGCAATGCGTGGCGACGTCACTCGTCCTTGGGTGCAGCCACGTGCAGCGCAGCGGCTCCAGATTCGATGAGAATGACGCGGCCCAGCGGTGACCCCATTGGAGGAGTCTGACCTCACGACCAGCGGCGCTTCTGGTTGGACATTTGGTTACTCAAAGAATCCACCCGGTGCATATAAAAGAAGCCCTGCGGCGCGTCGCGAGCAGTGGACATGTGTGTCAGAGTAGACCTATGTGTTAAAGAGGAGAGCTCGGCTCTTCGGGTCTCTAAGCTGTCGGCCCCAGTGCCGAATTTGTAACGCCTCTGTATATATGCTGTAAGTAAACCTTGTTTAACTCACCGTCGTCTCGTCCGCTCGTCTATCAGCTCTGCGCAGAAGCAGTCACGAGCTGAGAAACCTACGCTACCAAACGGCTGGTGACCTTCCCGGCGGAGTTCGAAGCAGTGACGCCCTCGGGACCGTGTTGGCGTCGCCGTCTTTCGAAACAGTGGTTGCAGCGGTGAGATTCGTGGCGCCCTTCGTAACGTCGTCGGAGGCACGCTTCGCAACAGCCTGGATGGATCAGTGGCTAAGGTGCCCGGCTGCCGACCCGAAGGTCGCGCTATGAAATCCCGGCCGTGGCGGCCAGATTTTCGGTGGGGGCGAAATAGTAGGGGCCAGTGTACTTTTCGATGTCAGTAAATGGCACAGAACACCAGGTGGTCGAAATAACAGAAGCACTCCATTATGGCTTCATGATCATATCGTGGTTTTGGGGCGTAAAACATTAGATATCGTTATTATTCCACGAATTCTTTCTGTTTTTTGTCTTACGTTCCCACAGTATCTTTTTCCCCTTCCTCTTTCTTTCTTCTCTCTTTTTTTCTGTCTTGCCTTATACCTTTCTCTATTTCTTTCAATCTCTCTCTTTTTTCCTCCACGTTTCCTTCTTCCCTTATGCATTTCTTTCTTTCTCCCCTTCTTTCTTTCTGTATATCTCTTTGCCCATCTGACGCATATGCCTTTTCCTGTGAGCATCTTCATTATGGTCGACCAGCAGCGAGGATTGGGGCTTATCCTACTTGTGTGGCGCATACTGAGACCTTACGGGTTTTGAGCGTTCACCCAGCACAGCACGGATGGAACTCAAGTTTGAAGAGCTGCGCCTTTTGTAAAAGACCACTTTTCAGTGAATTAAAAAGTTCAGATTCAAAGAGGCTTGCCACTTCTGGAACGAGTATAGTTGAAACGGCCCTGACAGCCGTTCATTATTCTGAAACGAACAATCACTCGCTCTTATCTCTGTGAAGCAGCCCTTTTCAATGATTGTACTTAAACCTTTGCAGTGCCAGTGCGTCTTTTATTTGTATCCTATTAAACGCAGACTACATTGCAGTATTTGGTTAAACTTGAAAAATCCCTTTTCTTCTTTGGTAGGTGTTGGTGATGGCCTTCGAGGAAGAATTGGAATACCTCCGGGAGGAGTAGGTGAGTTATACTTCATACATGGGCCCATAGTTTGCTCAAATAAAATCATATAACAATTTAATAGTGTTTTAGTAGGCTTGATATTCTCTAACAGCAAAGTTTTCAGGCAGTAAATAAAATTTCTTAAGCCTTTAAAAACCGTCCCGTTCTTTTACACTACAAATGTGCCTTACTGTCCGCTCTGATAGGTTTATTAGCATTCTACGGGTGAAAAGACCAATATCACAGAAATCGAACATGTAAAGAATAGAAACACTGTCCTAATCTATAAAGAACAGAACTACAATTCACCTTACACCCATTTACTAAACAAACACGAAGTCATAACTCGTTATTATCAATAAAAGAATGGGTAATTTCTATTCCCGCCATGCATGCTGAGCTGGTATACACTGGGTGAACACGAGAGTTGTTGAGATACGTTTGTTTGTAAGTGAACGAACGACGTACGCAGCTTCAATGCAGCACGAAACTTTCTCGTAAATCATAGTGGGAAGGTGAACCATCGCATCAACCTCATCGCAACCGGGTTTTGGAAACGGACGGTAGCCACACCTAAAGGCCATCCTTGGAATCTTAGCATATCCCAACGACACCTCGAAATATTCAGCGCTCACGTGGGGTCCTGCCGAACGTTTACGTACATGGTTTCTGGAACGAACATAGAAAACAGCTCAGTGAATAGAACGACTGAAAGCTTCCGAGCTGGCCGGACATTCAACCCCCCTGAAGAACAGACCGAATCGGCTTCAAAGCATAGGGCCAGTTTTTATTGACAGAAACTACAGGCTAAACTTCGCCGCATAGTCGGTTTGTTCGTTTGTTTACCCAGTCAAAGATTGCATTCAGTATATTTACCTTTCAACAGTAATTGTCATTATCATGAACCAATACATGCTGAACTGCTTCGTTCCGACAGCACGGGCACTGATTAGACAAGCATGTGATACAAACACTATGATGCGCTAGTCTGTTAAGGCCCTGAGTATCTCATAACATCGCACAATTCCTAGTCACTGGACGAAAATCACGTTAGAGCAATTAACTAGTGTTCACGTGATTAAAAATTTTGTAACATCACGTAATAAGTCACACAACTTAAAAGATCACGTGATATTAAGTCACGTGACTAGAATGAAGTAACATCACGTACATACTAACACTACTATAGATCTCGTAACACCTCGCGAAATGTACTGACTTAACTAAAAATGACGTGACGTGAAAGTCACATGACTAAAAACATGCAACCTGTCGTAATAGCTAGTAACGTAACATGTTCTCGCCAAAAACCATGTGAAAGCTAGTCACCTGACCTAACACATTATGTAACAGGAAGTATTTTTACATGCCGTTGATTTTGTGCTTCCAGGTTTTAAGACCGATGAGACCTTACAAAGATTATTTCATAAGTAGCACTGAAAGTTTCGCTTTTCTATTTTAGGTGCTGGCGTTGGAGTTCCGAGTGACGCAGGTAACTGCAATATTTAAGTCGTTGAAATTCACATTACTGGCTACCCCAGGTGCTGATATACCGCTACCCCTTTTCCTTTCTAAAATGGGTGCTTAGGCGTGTTGGTAACACACGAAGAAAACTTGTTAAGCACACAGACAGGCGAGGACTGTTACCACCATCCCGGTTCGGTTACCACAGCCAAACAAAGAAAATGGGAGACGGTGTCGTCTTTTGTTGTCGTCTTTCTCACCGTAATTGCCACGGTTTTGGGATTTAATAGCTCTGTCCTCTTGTACACAACTAAAACGTAAAATGTGAAACAACATGCGTATGCTGGCGTCATTGATAGCAAATACGGCCGCTGCAGTGCGGACATCAAGCAATTTCTAAACAATATACGGTCCTCCCCTCCAACTTGGCTCTACACCGCTCCCCCCCTCCCTCTTCTCTGTACAACAAATAACACTAGTGAGTATAGGTTTTTTTCTAATTTTTCTTACCTCAGCTGAAAAAAATGCTCTGCATATCCTCGCTTTTCTTGATAACGGCACACGAAGAACTAGCTGAACAAGCACAGGCCACATGACTGGCTTCGTTTGCCATTGCTCCACGCTGTCTACGCTCTCCCTTCGTCAACTTGGCTGTAACTCGCCCTTTCGCAAAGTTCGATTCAGCTCTTTAGGATTGGTGAAGTATAATTCTGTTTTCTTCCTTTATGCTTTAGCCACTGCTGGCACGGTATTGGCTGGCATTGGAGGAGCACTGAGTGGTGTCCCTGGAGTCTTAGGTGAGTACTTATTCACTAGCTTTCTAAAACATAATCTTCGCATACCAGTCAGCAATCACCACAAACTAATGGTGGGCCTTGTGCGATGACCCCTCTTCGCTGACAAAAAGCAATTTTATACATCAGCACTACAGCTTTGAAGAGCTTAAAGGAAGTCTAAAAAAATGCAATGTCACTTCTGGCGAAATTCTTCATCGTCGTCAGCCACATGCACAAGAAATGTTGCAAAAAGTTTCTTGCAAGTGTCCAGTGGGTACCACGCTTCTCTAAAAAACGTCGAAGGATGGCATAATGAATACCTGCCTTCTCCACAATGATTATTAGCGTATTGGGTATCCGGCAAGTGCGCTTGCAGCAGCTACCCAAAAAAGGACTCTGAAAGGCCCCTTTTTTAGCTTTCGCTGTGACAATGCTGCGCATTCGGTGCAGGACTGCCGTTTCTTTTTATTCTCATTGTAGTTAGCAGACTGGTAGGAACGACTCTAGGGTCTTGTTTCAGGTAATGAGTTTATATTAGTCTCAATGTAAAAAAGTTTCACATCACCTCCTTGCTTTTTTTTTTGACAATTCTGATTGGTTCGCAGGGCTACTACGGTTTCTACGACTGCATCACGGCGCTTCATTGGCAGATTGCGACAGATTGCGGTTGAGGATAGCGCTCTTGTAATAGATATGAGTGATCGTAATACCGACAATGAAAGTACTGCGCTTGAAGTCATTACACCACGTTAATGCGAACTTGTTCAGTACATCTAGTGTCCATATTGGGCCAGTTCTACAACTGCTCTCTGTAAGTGCGCCCTGGTATTTCTCGCGAGTCCTCGTTAAACGAGAAAATAGGTTTGCCAGAACTATTTTTTAAGGAGTGACTGTTCTTTATTTATTTTAGGTAACTTTCGAGTTCGCAGCAAACCAGTTTCAGTGGGCACAGGTGAGCGCTCATCCAACCTCCTATAAATCATGTTATATGTTTTGCTAGTAGGCTTTTGTTGTGGAAATACTTTCTCATAGGTTTCTAGTTTATACTAATTTTGATGCAAGAAGGTGAACTGGAGCGAGCTCCATTACTTCAAGTGACTATATAGAATAAAGAACTGCTCTAAATTTTCGTGTTGCAGACCTACGCTGCATATTGGAGTAGAAACATAGACTCCAGACTCCTAAGATCCCATAACTGAATCTTCTGTCATCGCGCAGTCAAATACACCCTCTTCAGTGCGAACCTGTAATCTTTCCTGAAACATATGCCTCGGCCTTAGTTGACCTCTGAAGTTTTCCAAAGCATTACCCTGCATTATCAATTGGGCAAGTTGACACCCGATTCAATGATTTTCCTCGACATCCGTTCAAACCTGCATTGAGGAAACAATGTGGCTATGCAGCAAATATGTTTTCACTGTTGGTATATACTCATGTCACTGTGTATAGTGGCATTAGACATATCACGAGTATACTATTTTGAGCTTAGAAAATATGGTACTGGAGTGAAGAAATAAAAACTTGGTATTTTATCGCATTTTATTTATCGATTATATACCAAACTGGCATCTACTAGAAAATGCGTGTGTTTCGAGGAGCCACCTTGAGCCTCAGAAAATGGCCGTGAGCATGGAGGGATTGTCTGAGGGTTGGGCTCCCCTGCAAAGCCATCTATTCAGTGCCGAGTTTGGCCCTCTTTCTTTTAACTGAGTCTTCCCTTTACTGTCATTTTTCAATACACGCGATTATGGCTACGAGTGTGTTTTGACTAAAACGACAATAGACAACATCTTATGAGAAGACGTCATTTTTTTTCGTTTTGATCTTTGCATTGATTGTTGAGCTCGTTTCTATATCGATCCACCAGTGGAGAGAGAAGGTAGCGCTGTGATTACAGTTTCCTCCTTCTGCCTCGCTTTCTAATGGAGAGAGATAGAAAGAAAGAATATACTATATTTAGCTCTGGACCTGTTTTTCTGATGGAAAGTCCTGCTCTAACCTAAAGCTGAGAACAAAAGTTGCAAAGGGGAAGAGGCTGGCCTTGCACCACTCGCCTCATCTTGCTCCTACTTTAATTTTTGATTTCACTCTTAACCTACAATGGAGGGAGGAACCACTGACGACTATCATCTCGGACCAACACGAAGCACGCCATTTATATTTGAAAGGCCACCTCCCGATATAGATAGGTGAATTCCTAGGTGGCAAATCGACAGAGCAGTAGACGCTGATCTGGTGTCCAGGACACAGTCCTGAATGAAAACTATAATGCAGACGCTTTACGTTTTTGCTCTAAGGCTCACGAGCCAAGTAGAGCCTCGACTGCACTTTCAATTCTCTGAAACGCTGCAGGAGGATACTAAGGAGGAAAAATAATGGCCCATCCGGAATGGCCTCTCGGGAAATTTTCGTTCATCAGAGTGGGCACACACTAAATTACAGCACTTCCCACAAGTATTTAGAAAAGGCGGACCCGATTGACCACCATAATATTCAAATTGGGGTAATTTTTAAGTCTTCAAAAGTTTACCGAAATTTTCTTAAGATGTATGGGCATATCTGTCCGTGGTTTGGTAGCTCGCCATGGCTATATCACACTTCGTGGGGATACGTTATCCGACCACCAAATTTGATGGGGCCCGGAAACACTTTTTCAAGTAACCCTGCAATGAATTCACTGGAAGAGCTTATTGCTTCATGAATTCCACGCCGCCAAAATGCTAAGAATCCGCCCAGCGCAAGTGGATTGATTGATTGATTTGTGGGGTTTAACGTCCCAAAACCACCATTTGATTATGAGAGACGCCGTGGTGGAGGGCTCCGGAAATTTTGACCACCTGGAGTTCTTTAACGTTCACCCAAATCTGAGCACACGGGCCTCCAACATTTCCGCCTCCATCGGAAATTCAGCCGCCGCAGCGCGGAATCGAACCCGCGGCCTGCGGGTCAGCAGCCGAGTACCTTAGCCACTAGACCACCGCGGCGGGGCCAGCGCAAGTGGAGTAACAAAGATTTGTCGCATGCTGAAATTGCATGCTCTCTTCTCTCGTCTCAACGAAAGTGCTGGAAGCTAAGCAGGGAGATACGGCAGGAGCAAAAAAAAAAAAAAGAAAACTACGTCACCCGCTCCTCGTGGCCTTGAGCACTTTTTTTTCTTTGAATGCGCGGCTTTTTCAGTGTCATTGCACGCGCACGTGTGGACAAGTCACGGCCTCCCGTGGCGATCTCTGTAATGACCAAGCGCGTCATGTACAAATCAGCCAATGGCTGATAAATGGGCTTACTAGGCTTATTTTCCATGATTTGTCGAGAGAATATAAGGCTATTTTTAGCTGACTTTGATATTTTATTGTGAATTCCAGGCCGCATGCACCGCTAATAGTTGGCTCGCGTGTTGTCGGGAGCCTCTACTACCGATTGACAGTGTTTTCTGACCATGCTCAAAAAGTGTTGCAGGGCCCCTTTAAATAGCTTTTTAGGTCCATACAATCTGTAACCTTTTCGGGCGATGGGAGGCACCATCAGCTCTGACCAGGAGGTACAGCTTGCAATTCTACTCCACGTCAGGCAGGTGGCAGAACATGAGTCAGCGGAGCCCTAGAATTGAGACCCCGCCCGCCAGGGTCACGCCGTGATACTAATTCTTTATCAACAAAGTTCTTAACACTCATCTTAGATGAAAATTCCCGGTATACAATAACTTTTAAGTAGCAGCCCATGAAAACTGCTCAGTTTAATATATATTGCTTTACGCTGTCTGCGTTCTCCGTTTGTTCATTCATGTGTAACCCGCGTTGCCTTCCAACTTTGTTTTGTTTCTTTGAGGTTGAATGACCTCTCTCTCTCACACACACACACGCTTCTTAGGCATTGCTGGTGCGGTCTTGGGAGTCATTGGAGGAGCACTAGCGAATGCACCGGGAGCTGCGGGTGAGTGTTGGCGCACATAATTTAGAGCAATGCATTTTAAGTGACGTGCGTCGCAGTGACCTTGTTTGTACAACGAAAACAGCAAACATGTTAATCAAAACAGTGTAACATTACATTTGACGAGGACAGTACAGAGAAGAACATGACAGAGTGGGCGCTGACTCCAAACAGTAGAAGTCAGTGCCGATCCTGTCATGTTCTTATCTGTATTGGCCACGTCAGATCTAGCGCAACAGTATCTTAATTAGCGATATATCACCAAATACTACAGCAATGCGTTGTGTTAAGCAAAAATGTGTTTAAAAAACACACAATTTGAAAAAGATGGCTGAGGTCTCACTCTTATCACGAGCAAAAGGTACACGAACAGCCACAGCTGGTCTGGAAAGACACATGCGTTTCGTTCTACGGCCTTTGCAGTGCGCCTGTTTCCACATTCCGCCGCACTACCACGTGTGGCGCTACGACCCTGCTAAAGCTAGGAAACTTATGCAAGCACCCGTAGGCTCCCTAGCTAAAGCTTTAGCCAACGTCTCTGGATAGCTATTGCTATTGGGTGCCATGATGCGCGCGTTCTCTGAATAGTCATTGCTGGCCATTGCCTTCCTGACTGCGGTCCGCGCAAAAGTTCACGCACAAAAAATCGCCAAAAAGTCCGCGCAAAAAATCGCCAGACCCCTTAGCAGCAAGCAAAAACACCTACAACAGGAAGGTTGCTATATCCCTCGCGTTTAGCAGGGGCTCTAACCACGGAGAAACGCTACAGTTAAGTATAACTCGATAGTGACGGCTGTAAGACAGAACGCTTACGTGTTTTTCTATTCCGGCCGTGGTAACCTTGATTCCGCAAGGACTGTGTATACAATATTTCGTTAAATTTAATTGGTATGGCAAGCCTGGAGGTATAAGCTTAAACGTTGAAGAAATGTTGGCTTGAACTCATCGGCGAAAACTCTGCTCCATCTCCCGGATATCGTGCAAACATTTTTTTGTGGTGCTGACGCAGCTATGCGACACTAGCGTGATCTTGACTCAGCTTGAGGTTCATATTCACGGAACCAGACACTTTTTTTCTTTTGTAACGAAACAAGAGACGCTCACGCTCTGCAATGGCAATTGCTTGGCACCATTTTTCGTTCCTACATTTTGCCCTGAAGCAACCAATCGACTTAGCCAGTCATTTATTTCGCCCTGTGGGCATTATTTGTGAACAGAGCATCGCATAACCTAAGCCTGTCTAGAAGAAAACGAAGAAGACACTTTCCATTGTGCTTTATTGACATCATCCCTATATCGGTGTGTTTTCTATAGAGTAAATATACGGTTCCGTGTGATGCATCTAGGATCACGTTGTAAGCTAGAAAACATTCCTATACTGTTCCCTATCGTTGAGACATATTAGGAGATTTCAATTCTAATGGGTGCTGGCTGAAGTTAATTGGCAGTTAAAGCCAAAACCACACCACCTCTTCCACAAAATTGTTACGTTTAAAAGGTATGGACTTACTTCTGGCGAGTGTGTTATGGCATCGAGAGAGAACTCTAGCTAATCTGTTCTTCATAGTTATACATGTTAACGCAAAAAAATCAAACAAAATATAACAAAGAGCGTAAGACGCTGAAAGGTCGAGTGTCCACGAAAGACTGCATATATGACAGCGATAATTTATGTAGCTAGAAGCAAGCATGGCCAAATGAATCAGACAAAACATTGGGCCAAGCGAAACATAGGTGACATTATCTGTTGTTTGTAACTGTACTTTCATGCTTATGCTATAAGCTGCGAAAATGTAGTACACGAAAAAGCAGCCTATACACCTGTGGGATCCTAACCCACCACTCGCAAGTTACAAGCCCTCCAAAAAGTTTTCTTGTTTCATTGTAGCATATATGTTGCTAAACGGGCTCAACGTAAGTGATGATATGGTTGAAGTGTTGTGACTAGGTGACTTAGCCATTTTCGGTAAGAGCCGACAAGCCCACCTTCGATGTGAACCAGTCTTGCGCCAGTCTTTTTTTTTGTAATTTCTCTCTCTCTTCGCAACATTTCTTCTTAACATCTTTCATTCCCCTCACCCCTTTCCCCAGCACAGGGTAGCCAGCCGGTCTAAGAACTGGCTAACCTCCCTGTCTTTCCGCTTAAACTTTCTTCCTCCTCCTCCTCCTCCTTGCGCAGCAAGACTTTTTAATCTATTCTTCCTCTTGTTGCCGAACTCACGTTACGTTGTAGACCGAATGTATTTTACGTGAGTGGCTGTGCCAACTTGTTTGTCTATCGAAAGTTATCGCCATGCTCTTCAAGTGTCTTACAGTCACACTTTTTATTCATGAGTTTTTTTTTATCCCTTCAGTAGAAACTGTAGAGCACTTCGAAATATTGTATTTACGTTGATAAGTACTATGTGTACTCAATATTACACTCTGTTGGAAAAATTAGATACATCGATCATTTTGTTGCTTTAGGACCTGGTGTTGGCTTTAGAGGAAGTGGACATGCCCGTTTGTCAGGTAGCTTGGGTAAGTAAACAGCAGTCTGAATGCTTATATGGTTATTATTTGGGGGCTATAATACATCGACAGCATTTCAGCTCAAAATTACTGCATACAAGACTTTTTTTCTTTTTTGTTTAATTTTTTATTCATATCACTGAATGTAAAAACGAAGTTCTTGTTGCAACTCCACCAATAACTTTTACTTCAACGAAACATTATTTAGTATTTTGTGCTGTCAGTGTCTATGTACACTTGAGATCTCTTACTTTTCAATGGGATCAAGTAAAATCAACCATGACATTGAGAAGAGTACCGAATCCAGCTGTATATGCTTTCCAAATATGGAAAGAGCTGACATAGCCTCGGTTTTTTACCCTACTTTCATTTTACGCAATGATTTCTTGTACACTCGCAAAGCCACAACGATTTGAAAGCACTTTCTCGCTAATATCGGTCACGTTTTTTGGCGCTTTGATTGTGGAAGTGCCATACATAACCCATCATTATGCCATAGTTTTCCTTCCGGCTTACTAATTCACACGCAATGTACGTGGTCGGAAACGGGGTTACCACTTAGAAAAGAATAATGATTCACTTCCCTCGTAATGGATGCCTGTGTATTTCATAATGAACAAAAAGTTGCTGAGTAAGGCACAGGTCTAGTCTGTTGAAGATTTCGACTGGAATGTATGTGCCGATTTAGCTAATAAAAATTACACCATCGCCCACTTAAGGGAACCATGGCCAGCAAGCTCCCATTGCAGCATGCCAGCGTGCTGGCCGTGAGCGCGATGGATGTACAGACCTTGCTCAGGTTGTTGTCAAACCAAAGTCAGTCGCAGCTGTATCCGATATTCCGGTCAAAGAAGTCTCACTTGAGCCATGTGGTCACTCCGTCAGTTCCCGGTCGTTGCAGTTGTTTCGAACGCCTCAATGTCCTGGCCTCAAACTCTCCTTCGCCTAGTCGCTTCGAGATTTGCAGCTCACTGTTTTCGTTGCGTTTGGGCTTCGCGTTGTCTCGCAGTCTCAGGGTCTTCGGCTCGACGTTGCCGTTTACGTTCGGCTTCCCGAGCTTGGAGTTCAAGGTTCGCTTGCCGTTGCCGTTTCCTCGCTAGCTCACGAGCTCGGAGTCTACTCGCCGGCGCTCTTGTTTACGTTCGGCTTCGCGAGCTCTCGTCTTCTTCTCAGCGGTGCTGCTTGCACTCCTGTCACAACTCATGTTACCTATACCGCTAGGAGTGGCGCCAATGTTGACGTTCATAGCACTGTAGCAAATGAGAGTGCAACGGTGCGAGCGCACGCAGTGTTATACACCAGGGCACAGCTGTGGTGAAGATACAAACGGGAGAGGAGAAACGAAGCGAAGGCAGACACTCTACCACCTTCCCCCAACTCCTCGCACTCACGCTAGGATAGGGTGCTACCACCTCCTCCGGCTCACGCAAGGAGACGGGGAGAGTTGGCGCGCATGCGCACTTGGGGGAGCGGATGGTCGCCGAGGGACGGACACAACCCTGAGCAAAAGCAGCTTCGCTTATAAAAAGCTCTGGTAGAGCTTAAGCATGAACGCAAAATACTTTTTCAACTAATTTGCTCTCAGTAACATTTCGATGACGATAGCTAATGCAGCTATTATGGTAAACTAGCTACTCAGTTCTGATAGTGCTAAATACGAGCTATCTTTTTCCATTCCCGGTCGTCACAATCAAAGCATACTGCGCGAACTCTGGGACCTTTCGAATAACAACACGGGTGCATTCCGCAGCCGTAATAATGTTATGGGTTAGTCGCATGACAAGTAAGCGATTTCCGGGCACTTCTAGAGAGATAACTGGACACAGGCGATACACGCATGGAACAGATAACACCACAGGATACTGAGAAATCAAGACACTTAGCGCTTGGCTTTTTAGCGGACCTTTTGTTGCTGTTTTTTCAGCATAATGTCACATTGTGGCATGTGCGTTAAGCTCCAGCAGACTAAGCTTATTACCAAAAAGCACGAAGTTGCAATTAAGACACGCGATACCTGCAAACTTTGCTAATTGTTTTCTGTCGGCGCAATGCTCTCATTTATTGAAGCGTCTTTTTCCACGGACAGCTGGTATTCCTCTTCCTGGTATGAGTGGTGGACGCCCCGGATACGCAAGTGGCTTTGGTGAGTGTTTCCCAGCAAAACTGATTTAAATTAGCAAAGTCATTTGTATAAGGTTTTCTTGTAAACTAAGCGTCACTGTGAGTTCCAAAGTCAAAGCAATTATTGTGGATCTGTGCATGAAACTTGTAACTTCGAGGCCCATTTCGCGAATGCAAGCGCTGGTGCTTCGTCACGCAATCGACAAGCTGAGGTCACCAGCTGCATTCACCTATCTAGCATTGCTTGTAAACAGAAAGTTTATGAGATGGTTGACTGATAACCCTCACAGGCCCATAAATATTCTTTCGTGAATCAAGGATTTTGTCATCCACTCTTAAATTGATTTCAATTTTTTTTACAGTGTCCGGCGGCACAGGCCCTCTTTCGGGAATGAGCGGCGTAGGACCAACGGTGACAGGTAGCGTATGGCAGCTACTTAAGATGTGTCCCACCTTGCATTTTGTTAATCCTGCAGTGATTTATGGATATCTGGATAATATTAACTATGAGGCGCACTCTTTATGCCATTAAAATCCCGGAGGCATATCAAATACTTTTGATGTCATTGTAGATAAGCAGCATCATTATTTTCACTTAAAAAATATCATGCCGTCAATTGCAGTTGGGGAAAGAAGGCTTTATTGTTATCTTTTTTTTTGGAATGAGGCTTTCAAATAAATTTCCAGTTCCTCCGTATTTTTTTTTTTGCACACTGAGAATGCGTCTTAGGTTTAAGACAATACACCCCACCAAAGCAACAAATTTACACATTTTTGGCGTCTTCTCGCATTTCCATAATTTCCCCCAACTGTGAGGAGACAGTGCTTATTTAAGATAAAATTCAATAGAGATCATGCATTAAACAAATTTGCTTGTTTCCACCGCAGTTTCATTCGTCAAGCGGTTGATATAGTGCATCTACCTATTACATAGAGTATAACTCGCCAAAGTTTTCAGAGCAGAACACTTCATTGGCCAAAGGTTTCGTATGCCGTAATTGCACGCCGTCATCTTCTTCCTTGTCACTTGATGTAATGCAGGATAAATCGCGCATAGCATGATTGGAAGGTGAGGTGGATATAAAGAAGTGGTTAACTGCGCCGAAACGGTCGTGGCAAGCTTTTGGCCACCACCCTTCGAACCACCGGCAAATTAAGTTTAATGACCTTGCTATGCCGTCAATAAAGTTGTTTTTCTCTCTGAACAATTCAGAAGATACCACGTAGCTGGGAATCGACGTTATGAGAAGTGTGTGTGAAAGAGTGAAAAAAGAATAAGGAGGAGAGAAAGGAGTGATGTGATGTCATTGCATAAGAAACGAATGCTTCCCACGACGGAAACCTAGCAGTCTGCACGGCCGAAATGCAGTGCACTCTTGCCAGTGAAAGCGAGGGGAGGAGGTAAGTTTATTTACAGAAAGGCAGAGATGTCGGCCTGAGCGATAGCTTGCTCTAGCCTGCTACTCTACACTGGAGGAAGGGAAAGGGGAAAAGAAAGATTAATGGATGACGATGGTGAGATAGAGAGGTGAGTATGTAGTGTTCTTACTAGCTGAGACACATTTTATAGCCGCGCACATAGTCCAGTTGTTTCCAAAAAGGTTATAACTGCTCTTGTGACCGCAGTTGCACTGTTAGTGTCTGGCCAAGGGCCCAACATGGTCTCATCAGTTAATGATCTACTGTGATATAGTTCAGTAGAAGAAATCAGTGTTTGTCGTTCACGTGCGTATGCTGGGCAGACACAAAATATGTGCTCAAGTGTTTCTGGCACATCACAGTGTTCACAATTAGGACCGGTGTCACTGCGACCGATGATATGTGCGTAACGTCTGGTGTACGCTACATCAAGACGAATGCGGTGGATCATACTTGTTAGTTGCCGTTTCAATTTAGGAGGCATGCGTAACCTCATTTCCGGGTCCCATTTGTGAAGTCGCAGGTGTCGCCGTTCTGGTTTGGTCCAGTGCTGAGGTGTGTAGCTGCGCATCACGCAGCGAAGCAGGGCGTTCGTGTCAGCTCGTGAAAACGCAATGCGTACTTCAGGGGCACTGCTCAAGGCATTTTTAGCTTCAGCGTCTGCCTCTTCGTTTCCCATCATGCCGCAATGAGCGGGAATCCACTAGAAAGTTATAAGATAACCATTTGTTGAAGCAACCTGAATAAGTTCTGTGATTTCTATTGCCAAGCTGTAATACAGACCTTGCTTCATGATGCAATAAATGGTTTGCAAAGCGGGTTTGGCATCACAAAAAATCGTCCAGGCTCGAGGTTGCACTCCGGAAATAAATATTATTGCCTCCCGGATAGCGACAAGCTCTGCGGCAGTTGATGTGGTTTTATGGTCCACTTTGAATCGCCGAGCGATATCCATGTCTGGGATGACAAAGGCTGCGACGGTGTTTAGCGTGGTGGATCCGTCGGTGTACACGTGCAGAGAATCACTGTACGTTGTATAAATGTGATATAGGGTCAGTTGTCTGAGGCCAACAGAAGAAATGAGCGACTTTTCCAGGTATCGTAAAAGAAACAGGTGGTTTAGGCAGGACCCATGGTGGCACTGCAGGGGCATTTGGCGGAGAAAACCTTGATGGTATAATATTTTCATGCCACGATATTACTCTTGAGAAACTGCAATCTGGGTGAGTGGCGGGCAGTACTGACAGTGGGTGCTGTCTGTGTCTGCTCAGTAATCGGAGGTGAACTCTAAGTGGCTCGCAGAGCATGTATACACTGATGGGACAAGCCCGAGCCTCTGCGATATTCCCATTTGTTGAAGTACAGCGCGGTAGACCCAAGCATCTTCGTAAGCATTGAGCTTGAACACTCTCTAGCGTCTTCACACAACTAGGTCTTATTGGAGAGCACCGGCATGCTGTATCGAATGTATCCCACAAATAGAGGATTGTACAATTGAAGTAGCGATGATTCTGATGGGCCCCATCTTGCTCCTGCTACGTGGCGAAGAATGAGAGCAAAGCTCTTCAATTTAGATTTAAGTGCTGCGACATGCCTCGTCCACAATATATCTCTGTCTACGACAACCCCAAGGAACTTGTGGTGCGTTACAGCAGGTATCGCTGTGCCATTTATAAATATCGGGTATTGCGACATATGCTTGCACGTGAACGCAAGCACTGCACATTTGTCGATTGAAAGAGTGAGCCCCTGACGTCGTAGATATTTGTATGTGATCGTCACTGCATGCTGTAGTCGAGCTCGCAATTGCGGACGAGTAGTTCCGGATGCCCATATGCATATGTCATCAGCGTATGCAGTGATCTTCACCGTGCTGGGAAGTTCTGCTGCTAGGCCGATCATTGTGACATTGAATAGGATCGGGCTGAGAACTCCTCCTTGGGGAACACCACAATGAACCTTATATCGATCGGTGTCTCCGTTATTTGTCGTCATATAAAAGGTGAGGTCCCTAAGGTAGCTAAAAATCCAAGCGTATAGTCGTCCACCGATGTCGAAATCTTCCACTGCGTCGAGGATAGCAATGCACCAGTGAAAGCGAGCTTCGCTGGTGAATCACTGCTTCGCACTTCCTACAGCTTTCACGTTGAGTGCACGCGCATGCATTACTTATTATACTCTTACCTATTCTATAAATGCTTATGGGGGTCAAAATGAGGCCTGAGCTCCTTTTGCTCGAGATTATGCCAAAATGAGTTGTGGCTACGGCTATGACATGACTTACAATCATGTGGTGCCTTCCGCACATATATTTGCTGATTTATTTTAAAGAGCGATTGTTCCTAAGCCCTACATATTAAAATGATAATGAGCTAACATGTACTCGCTCAATATACTGAATCATTCGATATTGTAATGTTCATGTTTTTATGCTGCTCTTTGTGTAATCACCTACCGGTGTCTCACAAAGATGATCAAGGAATGAATTAAGCAATTGAAGAAACCTGTTCTGCACTTTCGGTACTCACACTTTGGTTATTATTTCATTGAGGCCAACCTTATCATCAATAATTGTCACTTTCAAACTGTGAAGTACACAGTAGTCTTCAGGGGAAAATATTCTATAAAAGATATGGGAAGCAATTCCAGCTACAATTTTTTATTTCTATTGTAGGTTCTATTAGTGGCCCAGGAGCAGCTGGCATGCCAGGTGGCTTCAGTGAGTACACCTTTTATGAAATTAATTTCTGCTTGTATGTTTGAAGACCACATGTTTGATAACTACACTACAGCTATAATGTTTCTTTGGTATTTTAAAACGATCAAAGCATCAAATTTTCATTTTCCTGACCGTTAAGCACCAGACCGTTAAGAAAATACATTTCAAACACAAAACTTTACGCGTTTACAGTGGGCCTATATTCTCACTTGTCTAGTACAGTAGGCCTGCATTGTTTACCCATTAGGTTTTGCGTGAGCAGTGTACTTGTTTGATGCCTGTGTGTGTAGGTGTTTTACCGAGTTGTGTGTTCATGTTTTAATTTTTTTGTGTGTAAACATGACGTGCTCACAGACACGGGAAGAGTTCAGCCTCACATGAGGGTCAATTTACAATTTGTTCATGGAGAGGGCACGGATAACGCTTACGCTCGAAAAGCACACCGGACTCCGGCATAAGAATAAACACTGGTGCCGAAACACAAACTGTTACTGCACGCCTAGAATCCGGTAGCTTTCCGAGCCGATTGCAAGGGACAACGGCGAGCCGAGGGCACGGCGTTGTATGCAGAGCAGCGTCAAAGAGGCAGTGACGGAAATGTGTTCGCCGGGACTGACGCCCACTTTAAGCGAGAATTTCTCAAGTGGATTCGGCTGCAACGTCTGCAACCGCCTGTGGCCATATGCTTCAGTTACGCTGGTTAACGATGTGTGCGGAGTGCTTGAGCGAAGATATTTTTTTTGACCATGTGCCAACGCTTTCCACTTTTATTTCTGTTTGATTCCTTTGTGTGTTAGGTGTTAGGTTCAGTCACCTTGTCTAAAATTGGTACCTTGTCATAAGTTGCTTTGCTCATGATAAGCGGTCACTAACGCTTTCCTTTCCCGCCCTTCCTAATCTGCTGTTGGTGAGAATGGTATCCTGGCTGTTGAATTTACGGCGCATAGTACGGGTGATAACTCATTTGATGTGGACGTGTAGCACATTTTCAGTGCTTTTGCACCAGTCAGTTTCGGTAGTCCTATCTGGAAACTTGTACAATCATTTCGTATTGAATTCGCTATGCATGATAAATCATTCTTCAAGATGAGGATTCTTATCAACGCCAAAAATTATTTTACTCTTTCTAAGGGCTTGGTCCTGGCCTTGGAGCTGCTGGCGGACGACACATTGCCGGAGCAGGTGCGGGCACATTCGTTCTTCTTAGACAATACTGTATGATGTGAAGTTATGGGAATAAACTTGTTCAACTTCTGTGGCTCAAACAAATACGTCACACACTGTTACTGATATGGTGTTATGCTGCCTCGAGATTGACGCCTAGAATTAAGAGTACTCCAAATCAATTTCTAATTTACATCAAAACCTTTCTTTACTAAAAAAACTGTAAATGCTGAGAGCTTTGTTTGTGTTCCAGGACCAGCTGGTACCGGACTTGGAGCTGGTGGTGGATCACCTCTAGGTGGCGTAGGCGAGTGCACATTTTGTCTCTTTGGGCTACAGACGCAATTCTGCTTTGCTGTAGTAATAATGGCAAATGTTGCGATGAATTAGAAAAGTTTCTATCTGCCAAGCTGGTGATATTGTATGTTGAGTGATTCAGGTGAAAATTAGGCGTTCGGACGATGGACAAATGCTAGGCGCACAGAGAGCAGTGTCCCCGTATTTGTTTTACTCGTCATTTCCTCTCGTTTTTGCTTCAACCGTGCAACATTGTGATGCGATAGGTCGGCTACCTTCAGTCGTGTGGACTACAGCTAGTTCTTCACGAGAAAGCCTCGGCGTTCTTTGCATCGTTAATCAAGGCAGTTACATCAACATACGCTGGGTCAACACAACGACAAGTTGGGCTATAATGGGTCTTTCATTTTCACTTTTGGCGAATGGCCTCGTAGCGTCAAACTGACTACCGTTCCTACACGTCCAGCATAGCTGATGTTGCAGAAGAGCAGAAGATGTGGATGTGCCAGATTAGAACTGTTGCACATGGTCTATTGTGTGACTCCTATGTCAGATGACGCATTTGTTGTAGCAATTAGATTTGCCGGCAACGCTACACATTGCACGCGCGTAATTCAGAGCTTATTACGCGATGTGAAAACGATGGCCATGGTATAGCAGTACGTGAAATTCGAGTTGTGCGCGAGTCTTAGAACCAATGGCATTACAGCATGTTGTATTTACGCTTCCCTTGTTATCATGTGCTTCTGATAAGTGTATTTATTCACCACGGCCCCGTATGACGGGACCTGTTCATGTTCATGTCGGATAGCCAGCCCTTCTCCATCAGTGAATTTGGCCAACGCCACTGTTTCACAGTGTCAACTCATGAGAATGACAAGGCCGCTTCTATTACCAATGCAGTAATGCCATTTTCGGTGCCTCTATCAGATTCCGCGGAGCTGTAGAGTAAAATCGCTTTTAAGGCTATATCTGCAATAGCTTAATACACATAGTTATGGTCGCCTAATCTCCATGTGTCATGCATTCTTGGGCCAATTCGGTCAGGCTAGATGTATACACAACACTTCTGAATTTCTTCCTGTTCCTAATCTTGGGCGGGTTATCTCCATGCGCTACAGCACTGTAGGATCAAATGAGTGCACCAACGGTATTCCTAGGGATGGCTTTCCACGCGCCGCTACTGACGTGAATTTTCTATCATTGTGCGTAATGAAAGTCGACGAAACTCCTCCTTTTTTTTTCCTTTATAGGTATGGCCCATGGCGGCATGGCAATGCATGGTGGTGAGTGCACATTGAATTTACTCATAAACTACAGCACGCCGACTGCAAGAAAGGGTAAACGATGATGAAGACCGGACCACACGAATGCGTTGCAGCGTGTTGGCGCATAGATTCCTAACCCGCCATCGCATCTCTCGCTATGGAGAGAGACAGGGTGCAAAGCTCTCTCTCTCTCGATAAGGAAAGGATGCGGGGCCACGTCGAAAAAACGCGCGCTTACACGCTGCATCGCGTGCGGGTTTTCTTCCATATGTGGCAATTCTATGGCTTATTTACTCGTAATGTCTCTGCGACGCGTCCAGTGTGGGCTTTCGTGTTGTAAAGAAAACGCGTAGATTGAGGGGGCGCCTATCTTTAACTATATGAACTAGGCCTGTTAACTTATTAATTAAATAGGCTTAATAATTCAATAGAACATATTACTAAAGGTGGAACTAACATCATTCATTCATTCATTCATTCGTTCATTCATTTATTCATCAAGAGAGTATTAAAAGGTCAGGCGAGTTTGTGGGACACGTAAGAAGTCCTGCTGGTGCAACTGCCAATAGTTCTTGTGTCCCGACGGCTTCTTTGCTCCACTGGACAGCCCAGGACCAATCTGTGCATCACAACATGCCAGCACGCGGGGAAGCGATCGCTATATAGATAGTTTCAAGAATGCAAGCATTGTAGCGCAAAAAAAAATCTTCCGGTCACCTCATTTACCAGCTCCTAACGCCGAAACTGAAAGCATGTTTTCAAGTTTTTTTCAAGGGTAAGGAAAGTCTATCTGTAGTTTTTCAGATAAAAGATACGTGCGTAAACGTCAAGGGAATCTCTTACAGTTTTTATGTAGCTATAAAACGCTTGTTTGAGTATATACTGCCAAATATAGGAAGGAAAGTGTACAAAACAGTGGGCTATTGACCAAAGCTCTTCTTGTCCACCGACGCTATTAAGGCACATCGGTAGACGATACCGGATATCATCAAGGGCCTGTCCCATTATCGTGTTCTCGCTTCTTATTTCAGCAGCATCTGTTGTATATTTACTGTAAAAGCACATTTTGCATCATCAGTGTTGTATATGACTGGGTAACCGTATAGTGACATCAGGGGGTTCGCGTAGGTTGAGGTCTTTAAACGCCGTGCGTCGACAGTACTTGCGTGCTTATTTGTACACAGATAGTCTGCGTTGTTTCACTCGACATATTTGTCTCTTTCAACAGTAGTTCTGAACTAGGATATAGTACTTAGTAGTAATGTGCATTCTTACTTCAATGAAATTATTCTTGCTCGTGTTTGTTGGAGCTTCTGTAGGTGGAATGAGAGGAACTGGCGGATCAGGAGCTGCGGCGTCAGGTGGTTTTTGTGGGTATACACCAGCAACATACTCACAAGCTTGAGCACTACTCGTTCGAAACAAGTGCATTTGTTTACAACTTTTCGTCATGAGGCAAATGTAAACTGTTATTCTCAAGTGCAACAACACCCTAAATTATAAACAAATGCAGAACGCGCTTAATATACGGTCATATTTGTTTAACGTGGTCAAATAATTTTAATCGTAAAGGGCTTTTAGACTAACTTAGCGTGTTTCCTATGGCAAACTCTGTTGCCCTCAATCACCGAGTTTCCTGTTCTTCACATTACGCATCAGTTAAAACCACCAGTGCATACGAAACAAATTTAAATCCTTATGACAAAAGAATAAGGCGTCGCTCTCTCGCCCCTTAATTTATAGTTACAATACCGCTTCATTTATCGCTATTTAGATAATCATATCTCTATTCAAGGTACTTGAGCTGCTATGTGACATTGTGAACGATTCTCTGCAAATACAGTGGTTCTACTAGATGTATTGTTGAGAGCTAACCATTAAATGAAAGGTTTCTTTAACGAAACATGTTGTCAAATGCTATCACAGGTGTTGATATATTTCTTATTCAGCTCCTGGTACCGGATATCTAGCGAGAGGTGTAGTAGGACCTGGACTGACGACTGGTACGGGTAGATATATTTTAATACATACATATCTTATAAAAGGTATAGCTTTCTTGTGTAGTTTATGTGCACCCCTTTTATTGCACTGCGCACATCGCTAAAGCCATTCGGTTAATTGTTGCACATGTTATATAAAAGCAGCAGATACGAAATGCTCTGTTGGAATTCGCCTACGACAAAGCTTCTTCCGTCGTTCAGGAATTGAAGCTCTTTATGGTCTAGGGCAGTCCATATCCCTCTAGCGTAGCCAGCACATAATATCCATAGACATACAGACAGACGGAAAGACAGACAGATGGACGCTTCACCCCACTCATCATCATTCACCGCATGGATATGCTGTAATTTTTTTTCAACTAACGCTAAGATGCTCCGAACCCTCAGATCACGGCAACGGGGAATTTCAAGGCGGCAGCTGCCGTAAGACCAAATGGGAAGATAGGCGCCAATGGGGAAGTTCAAATTATTTCATTCCTTAAAACTAAAAAAATGCAATTAGACTTGTCATGTAAAAAGAACTGTTTATTTGCTTTCGATACAGATACAAAGGTGATTTTTAATTGGACTACCACATGGCGCAAATTGCATCTCAATATGGACAAAAATGACAATTTTGGGAAATTTGTGAATTTTTCTCGTGAAGTTCAGCAATTTAAGACGTCTTAAAATATCTTTTCTTCAAAATAAGACTTTTGTAGAGTAATTATTTACTACTGAGATATTCATACAAAGAGCAGTATTGCGATAGAAAACAATGCAAACATAACACATTTTGGCTAAATTCTTGGGGCCGTTTGTGCCAGTAAACTTCCACTAATATTACGGAGCTTCAAACACATTACACAAGCAGCTTTATTTAACATGCAGAGCGATTCGGTAATGAAAGAAGGAGCGGTACTTTTAAAAAATTTTCACAGAAGGCAGCATTGTGATCAACATTTTTTTTCTTCAATAAATTCTAGCAGTTCACTATTTTCAATGCAGTGATTGAGCATACTTTTTTTTTCGAATACATTTGAGATGATTGCCAAAATGGCTGGGACGTTTGCCGTATCAAGTTTTTTCTACGTTTTGTGATTCACCTTGAGTATAAATCATCAGACAAGTACTTTAATATGAGATGGCTCCTATTAAGAGAACGAGTAGCTCGCCTTGAAGACTACTAGGCCACTTGTAGAACTGTGGCTTCAGCGACAACCCCACCGCAAAGATTTTTCACCTATTTAAGCATCCATGTTATCCTGAACTTTTTATATTATTTTCTATAGAAGGTGATGAAAGGGCCTTTATATGAATTCACTTTAAAATGGTTAAACAATTTTTATGAGGTGACATGTGAAACTTCATCTTGTCATTCTTTTTTTAATTGCTGTCATATCTTTCACCAGCAGCAATTGCACCAGTATTTATGCACTTCACAACGTGATGCTCAGAAATGTGGCCTCTTCTTTTCGCTTCCCTCTTACCCATTTTGTTTTGGCAGTTATGAGTGGTGGTGGCCAGGGTATCGGACTGAGAGTGGGTGCTCCGGGTAAGTACAGCTATCAAAGTCTGTTGAACGCTTTCTGCACTCGTGTGCAAGTCTGGTTCACCATTTTTTTTTCAAAGTGTCTGGGATCATTTAAGCCTCACTTTATTATCGCCTAAATATTCTTCCCATCTTAAATAATGTCTGTTGTCTATACCCCGCTTTTACACTTCTATGGTCAATGGCGGGTGTCCACACATTTGGCCCAGGAGAAAATATAGGCAGGTGTACGTGTTGTGGACGAGATAATTTTTTCATTTCTTCATTAAGCTCTTAAACAATACTGTGTCACTTGCAAGATTATTGTGCTGAAATCTTCATGTCATCTTCGCATTGAATAAAAGTATCGAGAACTACTTGAGGAACGGAAGCTCGCTTGGTTTTATTAAGAGCATTTGGTTCTTCTTTTTGACAAGAGAGTGCAAAGGATACAGACGTGGGAATCCCACAACATATTTAAAACAATGCTGACAAATTTCGAGAAAGTAATATCACGTAGAATCCTTTCTTGAAATAAATACGTACATCGAACATGCGCTTGAGGCATTAGCGATAACACACGTCATTATGTAGAGAAAAAAAAGTGTAAGTCTAAGGGTTCGTTTCCTTTTGTTGGGCACAATAATAATGAGAACTGGCAGAAATAGAAGCCAGAGAAATTATAGTATTTGTAATGCAATTGCATCCGATGCGACACCACTGAGCTACCAGGTCGACCACGAAATGGACGGGTGGAGGACCACCACCATGGCTCACTGGCATCGCATCGTAAGTGTTATTTGAAGGTCGCAAGTTCGGTCCCTGCTAGTGCCAAGTTATCTTTTTTGTCCATTTTTTTCACACTTACCATACAATTACATCTAATAACATCACCTGAACTATTGTTGACCTCATTGTATGTCTGTTATTATTATTGTGTCCGACAAAAGAAAACGAGACGTTAATTTTAAACTTTTTTCCAATATATAGACATGCGTTATCGCTAATTCCTCTACCGCATGTTTCATATACGCATTTATTTCATGAAACAAAATTCTAAATATACGCTAAATCACCGCTACTTCGATGCACAGCGTTCCACGGTTTTTTACCGCCGTATTTTGACGGCAACAGTAGCTAAGTGGCGTTGATGATACAGGTACGACTATTTGTGCAATCCTTCATACTTTTTTTCTGATCACTTCTTCTGCCGCTGTTGGTTATGACG